AGAAAGAATGTTCTTTTTACTAAGCGATATGATGAGCCATGGTATAAACGTGTATTGGAGGCTTGTGCTCTTTCTCAAGATTTAGAAATTTTGCCAGGAGGGGATCAAACTGAGATTGGAGAAAAAGTTAGTATAGATTTTAATATATTTAAGGTTTTATTTATTTTTTGAATACTTTTTCTTTTTAATTTTATGATGAAAATCAATTATTTTTTTGTTGATTTTTGAAATTATATAGGTAACACAGAAAATTACATTCAATAAAACAGTATTTTTATTAATTTCAATTAGCGTTATTTCTTTCTGATTTTACTTTATTTATTCTTAACTTCTTGAAATTGTTGATATTGATAATTGGAGATAGTGGATTTTTTTTTTTTTATAAAAAGGAAGCAGCCTTGCTTTCATTAGTGAAATTATCTTCCTTTAACAATTATTGAATTAAGTTGTTACATTCATTTTAATAAACTTGTTAAAATTGTCTCAAAAGTTTTACCAAGCATGTAGAAATGTCTATGAATTATTGATAAATCAATTTTGAACTGCATAAAAACCTTTTTTTTAAAATGAATTTACAGTTTAAATAAACTTAAATAAATGCAGTCCAACATTTTCGTGATTTTGCTTCTTCATCTTCACTTTGCACTTCTTCAGCTTCACAACCATTTCTTGAATAGTCAACTTCACAAGTTTTAGAATTTTCATCAACAAATGCATAATCATCTAATGTGTTGTTTGGAATGTTTGCTCTGAATTTTAACAAATCCTCTTTTCTGCATCATTGACCTGGGGTGATTGTATTCCAGATTTCTTGTATCATCCTTCTGGGTTTGAAAACTAGGATCAAGGGTGTGCGATTTTTGTATAAATTTAGAATAATTCTGCATGTTTTAGGACCAGAATTTCCAAACAATAGACAAGGGAATATGTTGGTTTCAGAAATGAGCTAAACAGGTATTATTAGCATAACTGACAGAACCATTAAAACAAGATGATGCATATAGGAAAGCGAAAGATAGGAAAAAGATAAATGGCTGTTTTAACATTGAGAAGAAGTTGAAAATTAAAAAGCTACTTACTTTCCAGGGTATCAATCTCAGTGGTGGACAGAAACAAAGAGTAAGCTTAGCGAGAGCTGTCTATAATGATGCTGACATATATTACTTGGATGATCCACTCAGTGCTGTTGATGCTCATGTTGGGAAACATATATTTGAGCAGGTTATTGGACCCAAAGGAGTTCTTAAGAAAAAGGTTTGTATTAAATGAACCGTTATGATTTTGCTATGGTATTTACAAAGTGAAACTCTTGTCTTGTTTATCTCTCTTTTTTGTGAAATAAATATTAAACATTTTTATTTATTTATTGCTTTATCATTAATTTTAAGTAAAAAGTAGCTTTTTATTAGTTGGATAATTTCCACAACAAAGTTTTGAGATAATATAAAGCCTCTAATTCTATTTATTATTATTATCTTTTTAAGGTTAAATTTGCCAAACTTGTATTTCTGTAATTTCTATTATAATTGAATCTGTCTTTTTTATGTTCAAAACTAAACAACAATTATATTATATTTTAATATTTAAATTACTAAACTAAAAGTATTTTTATCAGACTGTGTAAGTTTGACTATTCTTCAATTTTTATCCTTTAATTATTTTAATATTATTTTTGCTGTTTTCAGACAGTATTTACCAAAATATTGCATAGACAGAATTCAAAAGTAATTGCTAGTTTATATCTCTTGAATATTTTAGGCATTTATATTCAGTTTTTATTAATCTCAAATCATATTCAATCAAATTCTGCAAGAGTGAGAATTTAAACATTATAAAATTAATTAAAAAAAATTTTTTTTTTTCCTTAGAGGTCAATTTAAAATTATCGTAAAAAAATCAGAAAAGATCATAAAGAAATTTCTAATTTTTTTATTATACTTTGGAAAATGTTAAAAAAACAATAGATTATTCAAAATCTCTATTAGGGGCTTTTTAAAACTTATGAAAATTTAAAAAAATAAATAAAAAAATAAAATAAGTTTAGATTGTTTAGGTTCAGGTGCTAGCAATTTCAATTGTCTATTTTTATTTATACATTGTTTAGTGATGATAATCTTTTATAGACTAGAATTCTTGTAACACATCGAATAAGTGTCTTGCCAGAGGTAGATACAATAGTAGTTCTCCAAAATGGAAAAGTTTCTGAGATAGGCTCATACAGTGAACTTTTAGCAAAGAAAGGAGCTTTTGCTGATTTTCTCATTCAATATTTACAAGAAAATGCTGAAGAAGCTGTTGAGGAAATGCCACTCGATGAATTGAATTTAATGCAAGAAATAGCTGCTACCATAGGAGTACCACCTGAAGTTACAAGGTATACAAATGTCTTTGCTGTGAAAGTTTACATATAAGGGACTATATCTAGTTCCTTTTTTTTTTTTCATTTTTCCTTTTTACCTTTGAAATAACTTTATAGGGGAAAAATCATTATTTTCTGGCATAAATATCTCTTAGTTATTTTGATATAATTTTTTTTTATTTATTATAGTTGGCTGAACGCTTAAAATGTGTAATTTATTTTTAAAATGTTCTTTTTTTTAAAAAAAATTTATAAAAGGTTTTTAGAAATTTACGATTCCATAAAAAATGTTTTAATTTAAAAGAATCCATACAAAAATGTTTTAGTTCAATAAAGTCACACATGGCTGATTTTCATTCAGCTATATATGAAATGAGTCTCACTTAACTAAGGTCATAATTTTTGCAATAATTTTGCTGAAATATGTCTACCCCTATAATATTATTTAACCAACACCAAAAAAAATTTGACACATGATCCTTTTAATACTTCATCTGTTCATCAAAATCAATCACAGCATTTATTTTACTTAATTATAGTGTTAGTTGAGAAATGATTAAAAGGTAATTAACATATATTTTTAAATAGTTATATTTTCCCAATTATGCAAAATATGACCATTTTCTTATATACGTACCATAACAAATATACCTGATTTGGAAT